GGCGAAACGCGCGCGTCAGGGGCCATCGGTGATTCTTCGCAAACACCTTGCAGTGTGGGCTATTGACCGTATCTGTCCACACTTCCCTTAGAATCCCGTTGTACACGACTGTTAGAATCGGACGGCTTTAGGTGGTGGGGTTTTTCTTCCCCTTGTATAAGGCTGTATCAGTGACACTATTTACTATTTACTCTACTATTACCTCTGATTATGGGTCACTGATATTTAGCTCACTGACAACCCGCTCCCAAGATATTCCTACAGTCTTTTTAAACCTTAATTTTCTGTGAACATAGACCTCCTTTTTCGTTAAGCCATATAATACTATCTGTAATATGACTTTTCTCAGATCGAATTAAGCACTATAGCTTTTGTCACAGTTGATTACATACTGCAACATTGTATTGAAGCAGGGTTTATCTACCAGAGGTTCACTGAAAACTTTTGAACAGGTCCTCTGTACTTGCTACTCTTTTGAAAATGTATCCTTTATTTTCCATGTTTAGATGCTAGTACGTTACCAAACGAGCTGCACGTATTTTTAATCTTTAAAAGGTACTATCACTTTAGTGTTGCAATCCTTATATCACAATATATTGCAACTAATTGTATATAGAGTATTATTACTCATTACCCTGTGTTAAATCAAGTTATCTACACCTTATTTTTAACTTATTTATTAAAAGTTAATTTTTAATTATTCGTAGGGCACTCAATTGTTCTGTTTTCTGTAATTACTACCTTGGTAGTTTTTTGTGGGTTAACCCCACTATGAGTGTTTTCCCCATAGCTTCCATCCCCCTTTTTCCTTCCTTTCTGCTATCTTTTTGAGCAAGTCATCTAAATATAACCCAAACAATCTTCCCTGTTCAAGAGGTATATCACAAAGGGAGTACTTAGAAGCTGAATCTGCTGACCAGTTTTTGAACCACTCTGCCTTACTTGCTACATTGGAAAGACTCTTTGTTTAGCGTAAAGATTTAAAGTTTCTAATGAAGAAACTGCCAGGAAGTCAAATGCCATTCTCATTTTCGGAAAGTCAATGGGCGGGGTAAAAGGGTGACTAGAACTGCCAAAAGGGGCGAACATGCCCAAAAAGGGGGCATGTCTGTCCAAAGAATTGGAAGGACAGCTTGGCATCAGTATCCCTATGTATCACAGTGTCAGTGTCCCCATGTCGCCCAGTCCCCTAGTCTCCCAGTGTCTCAGTGTCTTAATTTCTCACCGTGTCCCCATGTCTGTGTTTCCTGTGTCACTAGGAGACTAGGGTACACAATGAGACATGGGGACACTGAGAGTCATGGGGACACTGAGACACATGGGGGCACTTGTGGATACAGACATGGGAGACACTGGGAGACATGGAGACATGGGGATACAGACATTTGGGGACACAGAGAAATGGGGACACAGACAGTAGGGACACAGAGACATGGGACACACACATTGGGAGACATGGGGACACAGACATTTGGGGACACTAAGACACTAGGGGCACTGAGACATGGGAACACAGCCACTGGGAGACTAGGGGACACTGGGAGACATGGGGACACTGGAACACTAGGGACACTGGCTGGCAGGCATGGGGAAACTGAGACACTTGAGGACACTGGGAGACATGGGGACACTGAAAAATTTGGGGACACATGGAGACATGGGGACACTAAGGACACTGAGAGTCATGGGGACACTGAGACACTGGATGGTAGACATAGGACACTGGGAGACATGGTGACACTGAGACACTGGCTGGGAGACATGTGTACACTGGGAGACATGGGGACACAGACATTTGCATCAGTGTCCCTATGTATCACAGTGTCAGTTGTCCCCTAGTCTCCCAGTGTCTCAGTGTCTTAATTTCTCACAGTGTCCTCATGTCTGTGTTTACCGTGTCACTAGGATACTAGGGGACACAGTGAGACATGGGGACACTGAGATACTTGGGGACACTGGGAGTCATGGGGCACTGAGACACATGGGGGCACTTGTGGATACAGACATGGGAGACACTGGGAGACATGTGTACACTGGGAGACATGGGGACACAGACATTTGGGGACATTGATAGAAATGGGGACACTGGGGGCCATGGGGACAGTGAGAGACATGGGGACACAGACACTGGGAAACTAGGGGACACTGGTAGCCATGGGGACACTGAAACACTGGCTGGGAGACATGGGGACACTGGGAGTCATGGAGATACTGTGTCCCTAGTGTCTCCGTGTCCCAATGTGTCTCCCAATGTCCCTATGTCTGCCTTACCCCCTCATCCTTCACTTCCCTGAGCTGTAGGCTGTCTCTGCAGGCTGGGAGCTGATGTCTGAACTCTCTGTGTGGTGTAGCTGCTCCCCCACGAATCAGTGAATAGAGAGAGGCAGGGAGGGACATTAGCACCCTATGTTAATCCGGCCCTGGCTAGACCGCACACGGCTATTGTGGGGGCGCACTCATACAAAATACATTCATACCCAGGCAACAGATAGTCAATATACAGGTTCTATACAAAGGAGCTCCGGGCAAGCTATTTACCTGTCTTTGGTGCCCTCCAGCAGCCGACACAGAATGGAGCTAGGCCAATCACAGGGACAGGAGATATAGGCAAGGTGCTAAGGTGCTAATTACTGTATATTCAGAGGTGATCAATCTCCGTCCTGTCACTGCAGGTCTGTCCGGTGTCCTCTCTTCGGCTGACCAGGAAAGGTCACAACCAGGTGCCCCATGTTGGGCGCCAATTGTTTTGGATCAAACCAATTGTTTGTTTATCTGAGTATCTGTTCCTCTACAAATTATTCAAAATAGAAGCGTGCACGCTCTGAAGTAAATCACACTGAGACACCAAGTTTCAGGTTAATGAAAAACTTCAGAATGTTTAATCAGGGGGCGGGGAGCCCCTTATAAAGGTAGAAATACATCATATGCTAAACATGAGATAACATGGAAAGTACGTCTTTAATTGGTTAAGTGTTAAGTGTCTTATATAATGCACGTCCTCCAAAGCATTCTGGGTGCAGTCTCTCTTGAGACGCCATCTTAGTACATGACATTCTTTACATGATGGGAGGGGTGCTAGCAGCCATTTTGAGCAGTCATTGAACACAGGATGGGAGGAGGTGCTCTAGCAGCCATTTTACGCAAATATACATTTTACTAACATTAATTTCCATCCATAACAGTACTTCCTGGTCTAGTTATCTTTAGCACTGAAATTAGAAGGCAGTAATTGCCAGAGCACCTGCCTTGCAAGATTTCACGTTGATTGAACAGACACTTAAAGTCTGGGTGGGATCTATCCACTAAATCGTGAATTTGTTTTTTGTATTTGGGCAGTAAAGTGTCTCTTTAGGCCTTTCCAGCTTCTTAGAAGCTAACTTAGAACCTTCTTATAGCCGTCCGGCTCGGCTGCATACAGGAGGAACAGATTAAATGCATTGAATTAGAAGACATTTTCCCTCTCAGCAGATTTTACAGATCAAGTATAGACATGCTGAAAACAAACCAGTGAGGTAGAAGAAAAAAATAAAAAATTGCCATGGCAGACAGATAGTCGCTGCTGGGTTTTGACATCCTCCGTGGTGTTGGAAACCATTAAAAATATCTGCCTAAAGAGATTGTCTTATCAGATTTAAAAGAAGGCCTGGATGCTTTATTGGAAAAAACTGAATATTCAAGGATATAACCGATATGTATGAGAAATCTGATTGCCATTACGGAGTCAAGATGAAATGTTGTCCCTTTTTCTGGCATAAGACTACAGTTGGGGTTTTGAATTCTTTTTAATCAATAGCATAAACGGATTGGTTTCAAGGTTGAACTTGATGGACTTAATCTTTTTTCATCCTAGACAACTATGTTAGTATGTAAAACCATCAAAACATGATATAACCATTTGTGGGTCTCTCAGATAGGATCCAATTCTCAATTAGCTCAGAAAGGTGTTTATTAAGTGATCCAATCCCAGCTATAATTGGGTAACCTTGAGGAAAGTTAGAATCACTCCTCGTATAGACCTTTTGGAATTTATTAAATATAGGTACACTAGGACATGAACTTTCAGGTATTCCCCAGGTTTTATTGTCACAATACCTATAAAGTATACTGTTTTTCAAAATTAACAGATAAAAGAAAAGTATTTTATTTGATGTACTATCATTCAGTTGGCCTACTGCTTCCACATTATAATCTTCAGCATCTAGCTCCAGGCTGGTGAGATAGCTTAGTGGGCTAATTCATCTGTTCAACTGGTTGACACAGCCCTTCATCCTTCTAAGGTAGATAAAATGAGTACCATTAAATTGGGTTATAGTAACAACCCCTGGACGTTGGACAAAGGTAAAATCTCCAGGATGTATTTTAAAACCAGAGAATTCTGAATGTACTTTTCCTGGTTAAATACGTTGTTATCATTCACCCTTTTTTATTTACTTGTCATATGACTAGTCCCTTCTTTTCTTTTAATTCATGTAATGTCTTTCACTGACCCTTAGTCAAATTCCATGATAGCCTGTGATCTTTTACAAAGCTGAATAATTTCACCCTTAATTAAGTTC